AGTCTATGTTCCTCCCTTAATGTCAGAGGCCAAGTTTCACACCTGTACAGAACCACAGACAAAATTATTATTTTTGTGTATTCTAATTTTTATGTTTTTGGACAACAGACGAGAAGACGAGAAGACAAAAGGTTCTGAACTGAATGGTAGCAAGCATTTCCCGAGTTCGCTTATCTTAATTATTCCATGCATTTGTAGGCTATTTACTGGGAGAATCATTCTGATTTCCTTGTCCAAGATCACCATATATTGGTATGTACGAGAGTTGGAACTTTAATAGTGGCAACACTGCTGTAGAGACGCCATGCAATGGAACCAATTAATGTCGCTTATACCACATGTTAGTTACATACCTACCTTACCTCAGAGCAAATGGACTCTCCCTTCCCACATCACACACATGCGCAGTGACGAGAAGAACAGAGCCTCGTGTTAGCTGGCGGTTGAATGTAGTGTTGTCACAATGTTTTCAAAACAGGAACAATGGAGTTGGATAGAGATTGAAAGTGCCAGAGGCCATACAGCACGACAGTGTCATCAAGGTCTTTAAGAGGCTTGCAGGGAATCTGCATTGCCTTACAGAACAGTGGCAAGGTGGGTAAAAGCCTTCAATGAGGGACACCTAAATGTGGCAAACATGCATTGGCCAGGTTGTCCTAGTGTCATTGAAGAAGAAGTGTATGCTCTTTCTGGATTACTGGAGAGTGATCGACGCCATACGATTTGTGAGCTGGCCCAAGGGACAGGGTTAGCGCATGCGACTGTGCTTCACATTCTGAAGGAATGCGGGGGCATGAGAAAAATTGCATCACGATGGGTTCCACTTGATTTGACGGAAATGCAGAAATGGCTATGATACAACACTGCTCTTAACCACTTGGAGCGCTGTGAGTGTGAAGGAGAGGCTTTCTTACGCCGTATCATTATGTTGGATGAGACATGGGCCAAATTGTATGATCCACAAATGGTACGCCAATCGAATGAATGGCGTCATTACGGGTTACCACGAAAATCAAAAGTTCGTCAGAACCCCAGGAATGTGAAAGTTATGGTGATTCTCACGTACGACTGTGATGGTGTTATCCTAACGCATGCCGTTCCCCAACAGCAGACCTTCAGTGCACAGTATTACTGTTCATTTTTGGAACACAACCTGCAACCAGCTTTGAGAAAGAAGCGGCGACACTTTTTGCAGAACCCACCCATCATTTTGCAGGACAATGCTTGGCTGCATGCAGTGCAAGTTGTGGCTGATTCATTCAATTTGTGGGGATGGGAAGTGCTGTACCATGCACCATACTCCCCGGACTGAAGCCCTTCTGACTTTGACTTGATTCCTAAGATGAAGGAAGCACTTCATGACATTCGCTTCAGAATTGTTCCAGAGATTCTTCAGGCAGTAGACCTCTCCATTCGAACTATCAACACAACAGGCACTGCTAAAGGTATCCTACGACTTCCACATCGCTGGCAACGGGTTGTACACAATGCTGGTGACTACATTGAAGGACAGTAAAGCTTTGAAACATGCCTCTATTTTGTATCAGTCGTAAATAAATAGTTACCACTATTAAAGTTCCAACCCTCATAGGTTAGTCTGAGGAAGTGTGAGGCAAAGAGGAAAGAGTGCTTACTAGAAAATGTCAAATCAGATGGTTACAGTGATAAATGGATAGCATAGGATATTTCATCTTACTGTAAACTTTGAGAGAGAAGAGACAATAGGACACTGAGAAGTTATAATTTTTATTTTTACCTGACTACATACCTCTGTTTATATAAATGTGTTAAACTGTTATTATTTTTTTCTCCACAGTGACATTAGATTCCATTTTCAGAGGGGTCTCATCTGTTTCTCATCACCAACGTGCATTGTCTGTAGTAGCAGGTGCTTCTGAGATATTACCAGTTGGTGAAAAGCAGATCAGAAGATTTCGGACTGTAGAAAGTAACCCAGTTAGTATTTTTATTTCATTGTTTGATTACTAGTATGAAACACATTAGAAATTTGAATGGGAAATTTTTTAGGTTACTAGCTTCCTTACTGAATTTGGGGCATAAGCTCTAATAAAACAGTCATTATGCAGATGCAGAAATTTGTACCTAGTGCAATAAGCTGTGTTAAGAATATATAATCTAAATAACTTAAAGAATTCTGGAAAGACAGCTACATACTGAACTTTGAAACATAACTGTAACTTATGATAAAGGTTACTGTACATTGATCTGTTTTTTTCACCTAATGGGGAATATGATGTATGAAAATCTTTTATGCCATGTCCACCATCTTTTAACCATCAATATTTATTTAATTTTACATTTTAAATCTTCCAGGTGAAACATGACCACAATCATGCTTATAAGTTCTACACTATTCCATTAGAAACTAAGAAGCAGCTGTTTCAGCATGGGGGTCTTCCAACATTTTTTGAGCAACAGACACAAACATTTATGGAGACTTGCATCATGATTCGGGATCCAGCTCTGGAGATTTTGCATTACTTGAAAACAGCTGATTATACACGTCCTGCAATTAGATATGTAATGTGTATCCTTTTTTGTTCAGTCATTCTACATAAAACAATAAATCCCTATATATTTCTTAACATCAAGAGTGGGAAATTATAGTCCATTTGGAACATAAAAAATAGCAAACACATTTTATGTGATTTTACATTTCTGTATATAGTCTTAATATTCATTTATTGCAGATATATGTCTATTCTTGACATGGGCTAATCAATGTGAGAGATGGTAAAGAATTGTTTCTTCTCTTGTGCAGAGTGAGAGCTGGAATGATGGAAATTTTTCTTACAGCTGTTAGTTAGATGTCACATGTTAGTGACTAGACCCCAGGTTCAGATTAATGGTTGGATTTATTGAACACTTAAGATCTAATAACTACAAACAGTCATAATGCTGTCGCTAGTCTACACATATAACAAATCATGATAAATACTAAGTCTTCTCAATTTGCTATGTCTATACTAGTCATTGCATGGAAGTGGCTCCCAACAATGCCCTCTTCTGGTCATGTGGTTGCTGACTCTCTGCCATCTCGCAGCTGCTCCTGAACTGTTGACTGTCAACTGCTAATCATCGTATCGTTAGCCATTGCTGACTGCTTGCTGGCTATGACTCAAGTGACTGAATGCTAGATTGCTGCTGGCCCTTGCTATCCAGCGATTTTTGGTGAGTCCCATGGGACCCGTGAAAATATTTTACAATCTGACAGCTATGGGAGCCTTCAGCTTCACCACTGGCTTGCCCAGATCACGTAGAAAACATCATTCCCAACAATCCCTTCTGGCTTTGCACACATATCCTTTGCCATGGGTACATGTTTATCAAGCCATCACCAAACAGTTGCTGTGTTCTTCAGTCATCATGTCACAGTATCTTATCTGAATCATAATTTGTCTCCATTATACACTGAGAACAAATAAACTGCTGCCCTGAAGTTAAAGCATGGAAATATGTGAATATATTTTAGAGGTGTCCCGTGCAATTAGTTTTGTATTATGCTCATCCAGTTCTTTTATATATTTCTTATTTCTCTTTCCAAAGAAGTCTCTTAACCCTGAATTTGGAAGGACCGTGGTTGTTTATGTAATGCAATATTTTGAAACAAAGAAGTTATCTTTAAATCCAACCAAAACATGCTACATTCTTTTCCAGACAAAGCAATGAAGGCAGGAAAGTGAATTAAAAATCCTAATAAAGAACAGGGAAATAGTTAATGTAAACGTACTAATTTCCTTGGGGTTATAACTGACTGTAACCTGAGATGGGAAGTACATATTGAAAGAACCTGTAGTAGAATCAGCCTAACTTATTTATAATTAATGTACTGTCTAAAATACTTGATATGAATGGAAGAAGAATGCTGTATTATGATTTGAATCATTTTCTTCTGGCACATGAAATCGTATTGGGAAAGAGTGTGAAGGCACTCACTAGACGAATATATACCTTTCAAAATAGAGCTGTAAGGTACACAGCAGCATTAAAACAGCTGGAATCATGTAGAGCTATTTTTAGGCAACTGCAGATAGTAACATTATACTCACTATACATTCAAGAAACAATCTTATATGTAAAGTGTAACTGTGCTGTAAATAAACAAGTATATACATATAACAAAAGAAATAATGAAAGAATTTGATAGATTTGCTTATTAATGGATGCTGTTATTCAACAGGAGATTATCTCAATGAAGAATTCTGTAATATTGGTTACTGCTAAGCAGATGTATAGAATAAGCTGTATTTCTAATAAGTTTATATCATAATCATTAATGTATTTCGGTAATAATATAGATGGACATGTCGTATATCAATTTATTTTGATCTGTGAGATAAAATAAAAAGGGATGATTTAATGACAATTTCAGTAACTCAAGCTATGTGGTGGATAATGAACTTGAATGGATGTAGTCATAGCCTAATTGAAAGAATTATCCTGGCATTTGCTTGGAGGGACTGAGGAAAGCTACAGAGAACTTTGACCAGGTGTCCAGGCCAAAATTTTAACTGTGCACCTCCCAAATACAGATAGAGCATTACTGCTTGAACCAACTTATTCAGTGCCATAGTTCTTTGTAATGTTTGGTGAACTAAAATGTTAAGGCAGATGCAGGTGTGCGTAAGAATGGATAAAATGAGGACAGTGTAGGTATGAAAAATTATAATAAAATATACTGTCACGTAGTTGAATGACTAGATGGGGTTTGGATTGGTAATTGTATTTACTGAAGACTTGCAGATCATGACTACAAGTAAATATAGTGCTATAACTAACACACACACACAACAATTCCCAACAGCATGCGCTAAGGCTTCTCAGTCTGCTGTATCTTCACTCCAGTGCTGTAGTGTCCTCACCCTCCTTACTGGCCGGCAGTTGTGTCACAACTAACTCCCAGGCTGGTGGCCGTCTGACACCAGCCGCCTACTCTTCTCACTGTCGTCTCCAGACTCTTCTAATCGCAGCTGCTTCTCGCTAAAGCCATCTCTCCCATCAGTCATTCTATTGTTGTGTCACATAGCTATCACATGGACCATGTAGAGAACACCATTCCTGTGTTACTGTTTATGGCAGTTACCTAGCAACGCCATTGTTTATATAGCAAGAGGTCTGCATGCTAAAATACTATGATGTCTTCTCAGATGATCAGTCATATCACTATGGAGTTGGTGTCATGACATTTCAGAGTCTATTTCTGTCATCAGGGGTTTGATGTGATGAGTGTTGTGCTCACATGCTACATTTCTTCATTTACCATCTGACTCACCCATTGTTCTGCATACCATCTGGGCTGGAATGAATGAGAGCCATATGTATAAATATAGTGTGCAAAGGTAACACTCATCACATCAAGCTCCAATGATGGAGATAGAGACAGTCTTTGAAATGCTTGACAGTAACTCCATACTGACATAGTTGATTGCCCAAGAAGACTTCAGTGTATACTGTCACAGAGAAAGCTACAAATCGTATATAATGAAATATATTGTGAAAGGCAGGAAAGACCTAGATTGAGATGGTATGAAGTCAAAAGACTTCTAGACTAAGCTTGCATGTATTTATTAATGCATTTTATTTTGTACATCATTGAAAAAATGTTCCTAAACCAATGTTCAGATGGTGAGAATGGCTGTGGGAAATCTCTCACACTTGCACATATTCTTCATTATGGACTTGCATCAGGGTTCCTTCTTATTCATGTGCCGTGGGGTGAGTGGTGGTAATTTGTTTATGTTACTTTATTGTTTGTAGTTGCTTTAAGCTTTATATTCGAATAAAAGTGAATACGGATCAAGAATTAATGTACACAAGTAAACATCTATGCAGGTACAATTAAAGCAATATCTTTTAAGAAATAATCGTTATCAGCTTCATATTGTTCTAAGTTTTGGGTACAAGTGGTCTGGACTTAATTCAGTACATTAGTATAGTATGTGTGGTGGTGAGGCTGTTTTTTTCTTTTAATTCCAGAAATAATGATATTTATGTGTCAGAATCTTGATTTCCTACATATGTAATGTAATATACGAGGGTTATCCAGAAAGTAAGTTTCAATGGGCTATTGAAAAGACAAAAATTTATTTCCAAACCATTTATATTGCCATTTGATGTACATACCATACACTACTTTTTATCATAGTTTCTACCATTGTTAAGGCACTTATCATAGCAGGGCACCAGTTTTTGTATCCCTTCATCATAGATTAATGCTTCCTGTGATGCAAACCATATGTTAATGGCTTCTTTGACCTTGTTATGGAACGGATGGACACCGAGGAAATTTTTCAGATACAGGAACACATGGGAATGGGAATCACTTGGCACTAAGTCTAGGCTGTAAGGGGGGAGATGATCAAATTATTTCCAGCCAACTGTAGTGATAAGATCCTGTGTTGCAACGGCAGTGTGTGGGCAGGCATTGTCATGAAGCATCACAACGCCCTGACTAAGCAAGCCACGTCACTTGTTCTGGATCACACTGCAAAATTTCTTAAGTGTGTCACAGTAGACACCTTTGTTAATTGTTGAGCCTTGAGGCAAGAATTCCACGGGTGGAACACTTTTTCTGTCCCAAGACACTGTACACATGATCTTGTGAGTTGAAATGGTCTGTTTGAAATTTTTCTTTAGTAATGATGATGTGTTGCTCCATACCATGGACTGCTGTTTCAATTCAGGGGTATGTGAGACGCCCATGTCTCATCCCCTGTGATTATGCAGCTCAAGATGTCATTGCCTTGATCCCTGTATCATGTCAGAAAGGTCAACGCACTGGCCAGCCATTTCATTTTGTGTTTTTCCATAAGCATCTTCGGCCCCCAGCGTGAACACAATATCCAAAATGAAGTCTTATCAGACACAGTTTTGTGAAGTAGTGACCATGAAATTTGTAAAAATGTAGGAAAAGTGAAGAAATGGTTAATTGTCAATTCTCTTGAATCTTCTCTTCCACTGCACACACCAAATCTTCATTAACCACAGTCAGCAGCTCCACAGATCATCATGTGCATAATCACATCCTTCATTAAACTGTCTCACCCGTCTCTGTACTATTGAAATGGCATGTTCTCCATACACCTCACATAGTTGACCATGAATATCAGCCTGTTTCATGCTTCTTGCATTCAAGAAATGGATTACAGACTGAATTTCACATGCTGTGGGCTTCTCAATTTTCTTGAACATTGTATACACACAGGAGAATGTGTAAATGCGGTTCGATTGTCTGTAAATCACGTCTGTGCCTTCCCAAAGGACCAACAAACTCTGCATGCATACCATTGTGACCATAGCGCTGCAGCCGCAGTATTTACAAATGGAACTTATTTTGTGGAGATGCCTCATATTAGACAAGTTGACGGTAAAGAAAATGACAACGTAGTACTGGTTGTTATCAGATGGCAGCAGTGCCTGATGTTGCTGCTGTCCCAATACTGCATATTTATTTATTTATTTATTTATTTATTTATTTATTTATTTATTCACTTCACATCCATGGATCATTATACATGACATAGGACAAGTCAAAACACTCTATAATCCAATACAACGATACAATAAGACAATACAATGATACAATAATAGAATAATAAGAAGAACAATATAATTTTATACTAATATAATAATTAAATGATGAACACTATATTTATCAGTCACAACACATCAAATTTGAGAATAGATTAACAACATGTTTCGGCTATTTAGCCTATTTAAAGGGAATATTGCAGGTTGTTTATTTAACAGTGCAAATATGCCGTTGTTAGACATTAAACAGAATTAAATGTTATATATGTTTGAGCATTTTATGACTGCAACAATTGTTTGTGCAGTATTTTGTTTATATTAACCATTCAGAAATCATAAATTTTTGCTATACTACACGTTTCAGTTAAAATTTAGCCATCATTATGTACATACTATGTCGCACCATTAGAACTATCAGTAGTATCAGCATCAGTAGTACAGAAACCATTTAATCTAGCATTGTCCATAGCATGGTTTCCATTGGATATATAATGTCACTCCCAGTTGGGCACGTAGAGTGAATAATTGTGATTAAAACATTGGGTGTCATTACTTCTAGGAAACATGATTCATTGGTCACTGCCTGTTTCAGTTCACTGATCACTTTTAATGTTAAGCTTGGCTAACCAACTCAGTGGTGCAGTGTCCTTGAGAAGCTGTCATTCATGTAGTAAAGAAATTCCCTTATTTTATGGAACCTGAATATTCATTATTGTGGTCATAAGAGCCTACCACTCTTCCCCATCCTGAGCCAGATGAATCCAGTCTACATTGTTATACTCTCTTCTAATATTATTGTCTCCATTATGTCTAGATCTCGGAAGTGGTCTCTTTGATGATGCTTAACATGTCACATGAATCTCATATATTTATGTAAATGTTACAGTACCAAACTGGATGAGAGCATGCAAAGAAGTCTCTAATTCAGCTACTAGGGAAGGCTGTGTAGACTTAAACTTGGATGCTGCTGCATGGTTAGTCCATTTTAAATCTCAGAATGCAGCTATATTGAATACAATTGATGTGAGTACAGCATTTTCTTACTGTTTAAAATTAATTTAAGCCAATTGAAGATGTAAACTCAAGGAAATGAAAATATATGTAACTGTTGAAATTAAATACACTAAATTAATGCTGTAAAAGGGGAAAAAAAGAGGTAAAGGTATCCCTGTAAGAGGCCGTGGAAGCCGCTCGAGTTGTGCAACATTAAGGCTCCCACATTTTCTAGACAGTTGGCTCACAGGTGGCAGTGAGGTTGTCATCCTTATGTGTCAGCTGCCTTTTACCCCCAGTAAGATTCCTGGTACTCATTTCTTTTAGCGGCTGAGTCAGCACCAGTGCCACAGTGTGGCTGGAATGATTAGGTCAATTGAAAAATCCATTGATTTCACCAGGAATTGAACCTGTGACCTGGCTTGTAGCATAGTGGCATTAGATTCAAAATGTAATGTAATCTTCATTTTTTTCACATGTCCACTAAAGTAAGTTGCTGCTTCTTTGTTTTCTGCTGAATCCTGAACACCTCGTTCTCAATACTGCTGAGGGCAGCCATCATGATATTGACATGAAACATCATGAGGTATTGAGAATTAACGGATTTTTCGGACTTTGTCCATTGTCCAGGATTCTGAAAACTAGAAAACGCGAAAACACAACGTTTTGAAAAATGGCTCTGTTTCAGTCCTCAGGTGAAGGGGGAGAACACAGAACTTACAGCAAATGTAGACATACTCTTTTTTTTGTGAACTGTGCAAACACGGCCTTGCCTAGAAGGATGCTCCTCTCCCTTGGAATGTTCACTCTTCACAGTCTTCACGAGGGTATGTTTCTGCATAACACCCGAGAGTCCACATGAGGCCTGCATGGGGTGGGAGTTGATGGGCCTGGTCGCACTAAGTCTGTGTCTGACTCTGGTTCTGCTGCCCAGGTCTTTGCCACATTCATCAGAAATGCTTTGTATTTCAGTTTCAATCAGGGTTTAGACTTTTGTGATTTTTTACTGTCCCCGCAATGTTATTACACGCGTTATCATCGAGCTACTGTCACTTTTACCGTCTGTGGCCACAATTCTTTGTTCTTCCCTGTCACTGCCGCTCATGTGTTGCCATCCTTGCATTGTTCAGGGTCATCATTTGTACAGCTTGCAATGCAGCATTACTGTCTGTCCATTCTTTCCTCATTCTCTGTGTCAGTTGATAGTGGTTGCTGTTTCTTCTTTCTATGGTGCATTTGAGAGTTGTAGTTTTTCTGGAAGTGATTTTTGAAGTAATAAATGGTCATGGTGTTGAAAATAAAGATGTTAACAGTAAACGAGAAAGCAAAGATTATTCAGGATGTGAGAAAGAATCCAACAGTATCACAAATGAAATTGTGAAATGTGTTGTACTGCCACTGTTATCATTAAGGTAACATAATTCTATGGGAAGCTTAAATTCTTGAAGAGGAAAGGTAGTTCTGAGAAATTGAAAAAAAAAATATTGAAGCAGTAGATTTCAAGGCCTTATTATTGTTTTAACTAAGTTTAACAGCCATTTTTGGCTCTGTTTTGCAAAACCCCCATTTAACATACAAAAAGGTCCCTCCCCCCCACACACAAACTTTAAATCATGGTTTCCCTATACTTAGCAGGCAAAGTATATGGTTTGAAGAACCTAATACATTGTGCTGGTAGACAAAATGTAAGGAGAGCTGACAGACTAATTACAGCAGATACTAGTGAGTTGACATTAGAGCTCAGTTTGTTTTATTTGCCTTACTGCTTCAAGGATAATTCACAAGGTGCCATAAGTAGTGACTGTTCATTTTATAAAGTGCCACATTTGTTTTGATCATGATCTCCTGGGATGTGACTGCATGTAATTTGGTAGTAAGTACCAGAGTTTTGGAAGGAGCTGCTTGCTCCATATTCATTCTTCTAACCTGAAGATGGAGGCACAAAATTTAATCAAACTGAACGTTGTCACAATTGAAGCAGCCATGATCTGATGCTCTTGTGTCATGAGAACCTCAAATCTCACGATTATGTTTTCTTACTACAGCTACGCATGTCAAAGGAGTATGTGTGGAGTAAGCGTGAAGTGACCAAAGAAGGTGCACCTCTAATGGAACTGGTGGAACTTGGAATCAGTCGTGTGAAATATGCATCTGAGTGTGTTATTGCACTCATAAAGGAAATCAAAGCACATTCCACACAGGGAAGGTATGTCTACTCAGAATTCTGAATTTTTACACCCCTTGCTACAGAATCCTGTCAGAAAGCTGGATTTGTCCATCCATCCATCCATCCATCCATTCATCGATTCATTTACAGACATCAATGTTATAAATACTAATTACCTTTAATGTAGACATTGATTTTCATTTTTAATTTATGTACAAATGTCATGTCAGTAAATAGTTCCACATTTTAGTACTTTTTAACTCCGTGATTGAACAATACTAGCATGATCACCACACAAACTTAATAGGTGGTAGCAATGATGCCATCATGGAATATGCAGTATCGTATTGTGTATGGTGGTAGATGAAAGCATGCAGTTTTCATTAAGATGTGTCAGAGGACAATGGAGAATAAGAGCATGGAAACTTCACAAAGTAGTTTGCTAGGAGGGTGATAACATACAAATCAGTATAACTTGTAACACAGTTTGTGTAGTAAAATATTATGGAAACAAGTGCTGGTCATAAAAGTGGTTCTAAAATCTGTGCTGTTGAATCTGCTAGAACCGTAATGCATATTTTGTCACATCTTTAATAGATTGAATGGTCAGTCTGTGCAGTAGTGCAGTTTCAGACACTCATAAGTGAATGCTGCAGTCATGATTTAAAATCCTCCACATATTTGTATGCATTTCTCATCACTTCCTGTCACCCTAAACATTGGTACAGTCCTCCCAGTTTGGTTCTCTTAGGGGCTAACCTCTCACTCACACATGGAGCTGAGACCTGATTGTGCAGCTACTCAAGAATTTCCCAGCATTTTATGGAACCCAAAGGTTCATTACTGCGTTCACAAGAGCCTTCCACTGGTCCCTATCCTGAGCCAGAAGGGCTAACCTCTCAGTTAGGTAAACACCTCTGGCTGAAGGCTCCAGGTGTGCACAGATGTGGATCATGTGGAAAAAAATGCTGTAAATCAAAGAATATTGTGTGTGAATGTGTACTGAAGGGAACAAGTATAAGAAGACATTTTGTTATTTTTCAGGTGTAAGACTCTGGTCGCAATTAATGGATTCAATGCCTTCTTTCATCCCAAGACACGTGTCATGACTGAAGCCAAAGTTAAAGTTCCCCCATCAAAGATTACATTGACTGAAGCTTTTGTAGAGATCACAAAGTATGATTGGGTTAGTATCAATTTAACATCCTGCATGAGATTGAAGCTCAGATATCTGAGATCATCAATAAGGCTTCAGAAGTTTGTATTACAGGATAATATATTTGTATTACAGGTTTTAATTTTATGTAGTTTGAATGTGTTATTTCCAAAGTAAGTCATCGTATTGTCTGCTGATCCATATGAATGAAGTTTAGATAGATGATTTCAATATGTGTTGCTGCAGATTGCCTATACTTTCTTTAATTGACTTTCTGATGATGTTAAATTCATGTCTATATAAAAGAAAAGTTAGTCATGATATCCTCCCCCAAAACAGAAGTTTTTAAGTTCTTCAGTTTTACATACTGAAAATGGGACTAAAGGTATCCTGTCACATATTCATAGAAAGCAAAAGTTGTAATATACACAGATCCTGACATTTTGTTTGACTCCAGAACCAAGCAGTCATAACCCCCCCAACCTTCCCTTTCCCTTTTCCTGATATTCAGAGACCCACATCCACAGTTAGAGAACCTTTGAACTGGAAAAAGTAATATACTGCAGTATGAGGAGCTGTAAGATATCTTATCTTTCTACAGAAATGTGCTTTTAGTGTTAATTAAGTATATTCATAATCTAAATTTCAGTGTAATGGTGCTGTTGTTTTAACTGTTGACAAGAGCGGTATAGCTCCGGACAGGCGTGAGTCATGCCTCCCAGTGTACCAGCTTGGTAAAGAGGTAAGGAACTCAATGATTAAGTGGGCAGAATATAAACTGCTTCATTTCTTATTTTATACTAGCTGTACCCGGCCACGCGTTGCTGTGGCTTAGTCTGCCCGTTCTTCTCCAGTTTGATTTGCAATTACTCGTCACACTGCTTCCGCTCCGCAAGTATGACGACCTAAGTTTGATCTTCTGCGAGGCATTATTTAGATGAACTAAAGCAGATCGATTGCACTGAAGAAGAAGAAGAAGAAGAAGAAGAAGAAGAAGAAGAAAGAAAGAAAGTTATAACCAAAACATAAAATTGTAAAACATTAAAAAAAAAGGAAGAACACGACATGGAAAAAAGAAGAAACAAAAAAAATAAAAAATACTAACGAAATATTTCAATTCAAACGCAGATCAATCGACACAGCTCACTTCCACCGCCAATTGCACTGAAAAATAAGGAGAACAGTTAAGAAAACGAAATGAAAAACAATGAAAAATAAACTATACTCACGAAATGAACGCTATGGTAAATGACACAGCTCAATTCCAATGTGGATGTGACGTGTTGCACGCGTCAGTAATGCATGTAGTGTGTTTGGGTATGTCACGCTACAAATAACTTTACGCCGTATTAATTATAGCGAATCTTTTTTGTAATTCACTTGCACTACAGTTATTGCCACTTGCAGTATTAGAGTTACTGGTTACAGAATCTCTCGGCCAATACTTCTGTATCTCTTGGCTTCTAGGTTCCAAACTTCTTCAGCAGCAGCTATTCCAAGACTGACTGGGTGAATGAATTAAATGCCCTTTAATACCCTCGGCTGCTGCTATGCAAATGAGCCCTTGTTATTACGGCGGAAACGCTGCTTTGTTAATTCTGCGATTCCTACGCAACGACCCATTGTTATCGCGTTGTTTCTGTGGGAACGCTCCATGTATTCGTCGTAACCGTGGAGATTCGATACAGTATCGTTATTGTTACTTCCTATGCAACGGTCGGTTCTAGCGTTTCCATAGGGGCGACTCTCCTGAATTCCAAATTACAGTTCTGTTTTTCAAAAGACGCATGTTTTTACCTGTCACAGGTGTGACATCTATATAATGGGTATATAAAAACGCGTGCATTCGAATGCAACGTTGTGTCAAAATATCGAAGCAATCGGTGAAGAACTTTTGGAGATCTTTGAGGGGTAACAAACCAACATTTACATTTTTATTTATATAGATAGTTGTGTGAAAAACTTCTTTAGTGATTGTTAACATTATCGATGTACAATTGGATGTGCTTAGGTTTATTGTATCTATCCATCATTAATGCAATCTCTTAAAATCAATGGCTTAGTAATAAAGCAAAAGGAGATGATGGAAAAGTTCTGTTTCTTGATATTAATTGATGGTAAAGTAAAGTAAAATCCCTCTACTGGCTCAAAGATGGCGGTAAGGTTGTAGCATAGCCCCTCAACCACTATGCTACTGCATTCATTGATGATAAAAAGCAGTTTTCTTGGAAGGAAAAACATTTTAAAGAAAATGTCTTCTGAGATGTGATACTGTGTGTGATTGGTTAGGTACCAACATTTTGGAGGAACATTTTGCATCCAACTTCTGAGTAGAATAAGTAGTACTGACATATTTCTGAATATATGGAACAATGTTTGTGGGTTTAGTGAAGTAGGCAAATTAAACAGTAATTAAAATAAACCTCTAGGTAAGGTAAAGGTAAACTTGTCCCTGTGCTTAAGTATTTAAGCACTACACCATGCAGACATATGGGGGAATGGATGTATAGATCCACATTTTCTTGACCTTGGTACTAGTTGGAGGCGATTGGTCAGTTTCACGCCCCAGCCGCTTTACCCGTGAATAAAAGCCCCCCAGTACACATTGTATAGGAGGTTGGGTGGACGCAAGAGCTGGTCTGGACAACGTGGAGAATCTTGAATATACATTGCCCAAAGTCAATGAACTTGGTGTTAAATTCTGTGTTCAAATCCACTTGTTCACAAAGAAACTGTAATACAGAAATTTCACTGAATATTAGAGAACCATTCGATCTTTATTCTACTTTACCTGTACCATCACATAGCTTCAGTGATTGAGACTAACTCTTTCTTTTGAGCCAACCTGAATAAGAAACTTTCCTCCCTTACACCCAGCAATAGAAGAACCAGTTTCCAACAAAAATCTAAAAGTAATGGACAGTATCCAAAATAAGTGATGGTAATAGTGATTTATGCAATCTTCATTTAATCTTTCAGGGTTTTGAGCACTTGGACCCATTTGTGCCGATTTGTGTACGTGATTACAATGATAAGGAACTGGAAAGTTGTCTCGATTATTACATCGATCGTCGTTGGCTGCAGAATGAGAAGAGTTGCACAGAAGAAGGAAGAAATGAGCTAAAATTCCTGTGTGGCATGAATCCTTATCGTCTTATGCATATATGTGCACCTTTATAAATTAACGGACTTTCTTACAGTGATGGAAATATGAGGTGCTATCAGAAAGTTCAAAGACTGGCTTAACTTACTCAATTTTGACTGCCAGCTCCTTCAAAATAGTTTATTGGGAATGTATACAGTGATCCCATCATTTTCTCCACACTTCAGAAGCACCATGGAAGTCATTTTCTTTAATGCTGTCGAGTACTGCTTGTGATTCCCTATGGATATCAGACACTGTTTCAAAATGTCGTCCCTTCAGTTTCATTTTCAATTTGGGAAACAAAGCAATATCACAGGAGGCTAAGTCCAGCAAGCAGGGAAGATGGGGAACAATAACCATGTTGTTGTTAGTCACAAAGTCTGTTGTTTTAAGGGAAATGTGGGTGGGTGCGTTGTCATGATGAAGGAGCCAGTTGTGGTTGCGCCAAAGTTCAAATCTTTTTTGTCACACATTTTCCCTCAAACGTTTGAAAACGTCACAGTAAAAGTCAGAGTTTACCGTAGTGTTATGAGGAACAAATTCATGGTGAACAATCCCCTTTATGTTGAAAAATCATTGAGCATGTTCTTTGTTGAATTCCAGACCTGCCACACTTTTTTTTCTTGGTGATTGTGGGCTCTTCCACTGTGACGATTGTTGCTTTGTTTCTGGATCATAACTCTAAATCCAACTTCCATCATCCATTATGATCCAAGAGTTACGAGTAAAAGTGGGGTCCTTGTTAGCGTTCTCTCATAGCTCAAGACACACTTTTACATGCTGCTGCTTTTAATCATTTGTCGAGAGCCAGTGAACAAACTTTAAGATCTCCTGGCAGACCCCATAACTGATCCCAACAGCATATGCAGGCTCATGGATTGTTTGATGATGGTCTTTGTGGATGAGTTCTCAAATCTTTTCAACATTTTTTGTCATTTTGCTGGTGCTTGCTCGCCCTGAATGTTTATCATCTTCAACTGACAGCTGACCAGCCTTGAAACATGAATGCCATTCAAAAACCACTATGTTGCTTAAAGAAAGTTTTCCAAAAGCCTCATGAAGTATTTCAAAGGTTTTGATAGCAGATTTACTGATCTTCATGTGAAACTTGATGCAGACGCGTTGCAGACTAAATGAAACACGAAGTAAAAGATGCACTTGTGTAAAAACAATGCGTGTTCATAGCATGGTGTCATGTGGCAGACTGATCCAATAGGCTTGTAGAAGTGTGACCTTGGCCTCCCCTCTCATCTTCTTTCTCCAAGGAAGTTACAACAATAACACTCCAGGAACTTTCCAATACACCTCGTAGTAACTTAAATTTCAAGAACTTGACATGTGTTTTGTGTGTGTACTTGGATTTCACTGATTCATTCATGTACATAAGTAACATTTCTCCATGTCATGCAGTGATACAGATTGACATGTAATGTCGCCTTAAATTGTTAAGGCAACAACAATAATGATAATAATAATAATAATGATTTTCTAGAATGGTTATTGTATTTGTCCACCCTTTCCTCTTCTAGGATGTGTGTCTTTCTGACAAGTCTTACTAGTTATTAATTTTATACTCATTTCTGTAATTGAGATGGTACAAGTGTACGTGTTTATTTTAAGATATATGTCTGAAAGTATTATTAGCTTTACAGTGAAAATAATGTTTGTGTGCCCCTATTAATTCCTTTCAGCTATCAAGTATTCCTCAGAAAGATGCTTCTGATTTTTTGTAGTGTACAGTTGGGATGAATGCTTCTCATATGTATTTCCATTTCTTAAGTGTCATTTTGCCCATTGTTTTTGTTCAGAACATTACTCTTACCTTTCTTTAGCTTTGTACACCAGCCACACATTCTGTCATGTGATGAGAATAGTTCTGGCATGTTTGAATTTCCCCCTTGTGCATGAATGCCAGAAGTATGTTGAGAATAGAATCTAAGGTTTGTCCTCTGGCATGGATATCTATATCTCTCTCTGTATTATAATATTATAAAGATGCTGTGCAAGTTTATGGTAACACAATATGCTTATAGAGAACTGCACGCTCTGGTTATGACAGTACTTATTCTACAACACAACAAACAGAAAAAATCAAGGTCAGCGCCCAGCTATGTTTCGCTACAAGTTTCAGCCACTAGTGGCCATCATCAGGCAAACACATATTAACAGACATATACCATTGAACTGCAGTACATTAGATTGGATACAGTGTTATTAATCATTTAAAATACTTTCTGTAAAAATACAATAAGTCAGATTATATAAAAACTAAAAGTTATTGTATAAATTTTATATTATTATAAATTATTTTATATAATCTTACTTACTGTATCTTTACACAAAGTATTTTAAATGATTAATAACATTGTATCCAATCTAATGTACTGCAGTTCAGTGGTATATATTTGTTAATATGTGTTTGCCTGATGATGGCCGTTAGTGGCTGAAACATGTAGTGAAAATAGCTGGGCGCTGACCTTGACTTTTTCTGTTTGTTCTGTGTTGTGAAGGTCAGTAAAGACTTATATATTGTAACACAGCAGAATGCACGAAATGAAAAGTACTAATTCTGCCAGTAATTGGATCTGCCAACAGTCTCTAGCATTTCAATGGACAGTGCTTATTTAGATGAGCTTGAAATCTGTATTTCTTATTTTCTCAGTACTAAATGTGATGATGTGAATGGATTGCACTATGCAGAGCCTCTAATGGATCTTATAAAAATTCATTGAAAGATGTCCAAATGTCTCAAAATTGAATACAGTACACCCGTACAAGTCTGGTATACTGCATCTGTTGTGGATTAGGTAGATAGCTTTGACGTTCATGCAGTAACTTTTCATAACTACAGTGGAACCTCTCATAACAAGTAATTCACATAACGAGCAAAACAAATTGTAAAAAAATGACTCGCTTAACGAGTGACGTTTCGCGTGACGAGTGACAAGAGGGGAAGTCCCAGATTGTGCGCTTGCTACATCAGTCTGTGTTTAGCACTCGTTCTGCTAGCATCTTGGTGTCGCTTGTGATCACACATTATTCCAAACTTGTGTTCAGACATATTATTTGTGATTTTTTTTGTGCAAAGTTAATAACCCTTGCAAAAATGTCCCCGAAGAAAAAGCCTCAAAAAGACAGCCATAAGAGAATAAAAATAACCATAGAAGTGAAACGTAAAATCATTGAAAAGCTAGAACGAGGTGTGAGCGTGGCTGATCTAACACCCACATACGATCAGAGTACATCAACGATTTGCACTATCCTCAAGAACAAGGACAAGATTAAGGAGATGGATGCTTCAAAGGGAGTGACAAGAATATCTATGCAACGGTTACTTATTCTCGACGATGTTGAAAGGTTGCTCCTCATATGGATAAACGAAAAGCAATTGCAAAGCGACACTATTAACGAGAACATCATTTGTGAGAAGGCGAAAGCGATTTTCGCCGACCTCTTTAATAAGACGCCAGGATCATCAATGGCCGAAGAAGAAGCATTTAAGGGAAGCCTTGGGTGTTTCGAGAAGTTTAAGAGAAGAACCGGCATCCACAGCTTTGTAAGACGGTGAAGGAGCAAGCTCCAACAAAAAGGCAGCAGAGAACTTCATCGGCGACTTCAAGAAGGTCGTAGATTCTGAGGGTTACCTGCCGCAACATGTTTTTAATTGTGACGAAACGGGTCTCTTCTGGAAAAAGATGGATGCTGGTGCGAACCTATATAAAAGCAGAGGATAATGCATTGCCCAGCCATAAGCCAATGAGAGACCGTCTCACGCTGCTATTTTGTGCCAATGCAAGCGGCGATTTGAAAATTAAACCGCTGCTTGTTTACCATTCAGAAACTCCACAAGCCTTCAAGAAGTGTAAAGTCCAGAAGAGCAGGCTAAATGTGATGTGGAGGTCCAACAACAAGACTTGGGTGACAAGTAACCTTTTTACTGATTGGATCAATGATGTGTTTGGTCCTGTGAAAAAATATTTTCTTGAGATGAATCTGCCACTCCATGTCTTGCTTGTTATGGACAACGCTCCTGCCCATCCTCCAGACCTACAAGATGACCTTGAAGAATTTAAATTCATCAAGATCCAGTTTCTGCCTCCCAACACCACTCCGTTACTCCAGCCTATGGACCAGCAGGTTATTTCTAACTTTAAGAAGCTGTACACTAAAGCACTCTTCGAGCGTTGTTTTGAGGTGACTGAAGGGACCAGTCTCACTCTCAGAGTGTTTTGGAAATATCACTTCCACATCGTTGTCTGCCTCAAGATAATCGAAAAGGCATGGGAAGGGGTTACCAAGAGAACCCTCACTTCTGCTTGGAAGAAGCTTTGGCCGGAGAGCATTGTCGAATGTGACTTTGAGGGGTTTGCGGTAGTACCTGTGGAGCCTGTAGTCAACAAGATTGTGTCTTTGGCCAAGATCATGGGGCTGGAGGTGGATAACAATGATATCGATGATCTTCTGGAAGAGCACAGCCAAGAGCTGACCACCGAAGAGCTTATGGAGTTGCATTGTGTTTCACAACAAGAAGTTGTGGAGGAGAGTTTTTCAGAGGAGGAGGAGGAGGAGGTAACAGCAAAGCAACAATCTTCTGGTGCAATAAGAGAAATGTTGAAAGCATGGGAAACTGTTGCAACATACATTGAGAAGCATCAGCCTAATAATGCAGTGGCTATGCACGCTACAAATTTCTTTGATGATAATGCTGTGTCGCATTTTCACCAAATTTTGAATCGTCGGCAAAAACAAATGTCTCTAGACAGCTTTCTAGTAAAAAAGAATTAGATATGTATCATAAATAATAAACTAATTATCTAGATTTTTTTTCTGCAAATCGAATTCGCATTCCAGGTTGGTTCATTCTGCATAGAAGAAAAGATGAAGATGATTCATGCTCCTTAACAATGTATATATCATTTTCTTTGAATAAACGTTATACATAAAATTATTTGAGTTTTTTTTTCGGCATGGAACGCATTATGAGTAAGATTCTGGAACGAATTATGCTCGTTAAACGAGGTTCCACTGTAACTGCATGGAGAAGGGACCTTCTTGAGAAGATAGTGGTTTCTTAGCTAATCAAGAAATTGCTCACTTTTTATGGAACTTTAAGGTTTGTTACCATATTCACAGAAGCCCCCACTGGCCTCTGTTCTGAGCCAAATGACCTTCCTATCGTACTTACCTCTTTTAAGACGCACTTTAATGTAAACCCATCTATGTCTAGGATTTCTGACAAAATATTTGTATGCGTTTCCCACACATGCTACATGCACTGCCAGTCTCATAACTATGAGAATTCCAAAACTGGTTATGGCAAAATATACCCATCTTTCTTTTGTGTTGGACATAATATTGCATTTTGTTACACATTCAACTGCTTTGAAGTATAATGCTTTACTGAATAAAGTAAAAATTAAACTATCCCTGTACCAGGCTGTGAAGGCCCATAGGGTTGTGAGACATTAAGGGTCCCACATTAGCTAGACCAAGAGGCTCCAAACTGCGGCCTGCGGACCACATGCGGCCCGCGAAAGAATTTTGCAGAAATGCGCCAGTTGAATTAATTTTCCAATGAGTACTGGTAAATGTGATTCCAAGCTTATTGACCTGACATATTATACTGCATTTTGATGGCTTAGCTTCAGCTCAGGAATGAAATTGATATATTTCTTACCGAGAAAAACCGTCACGAAGCACTTTTATCAGATACCGAGTGGCTTTGGAAATTAGCATTTTTTGCTGATCTGGGGAACCATACGAACCATTTGAATTTAAAATTGCAGGGTGAAAATAATTTGGTCTGTGATTTATTTGCACTTATCAAGGCATTCAGAGCAAAGTTGATACTTCTGGAAAGCCAAGTGAAAAATTGTAACTTTGTTCATATGCTGTACTGTGCAGAGTTGCATTAAAAGGGTGAAGCTGAATTTCCTTCCTCGTTTGCAAATTTAGTCATTTAAGATTTGAAAGAACAATTTCGGAAGTGATTTGCTGATTTGGATTCTAGGGCTCAGGAAATTAGATTGTTTCAAAATCAGTTTGACTGTGATGCTGCAGATGTCAAATTCAAATGGAAATTATTGAACTTCAGGAAAATTATCATATTAAAGACAAATAAAAGGAA